GGCAGGGGGCCTATAACCTGAGCCCTGCCAGTCAAGGATGAAGACCTCGGGCGTGGGCCCACGGGTGGTGTGGCTCGGGCGTGGGCCCCTGGGTGGTGAGGCTCGGGCTTCAGCTTTGGCCCTGGGCCCCAGCAAGTCTAACACCAGCCCTGGCGACCCTGTTAAAATGGGGTCGTGACCCACTTTGGGGTCTGACCCACAGTTTGAGAACCGCTGATTGAGACCATGCTTGACAGGTGTTTGTCTAAAATGTTATTAAAACCTCCAATGACAGGGATTCCGCAATCGTCCTAGGTATTTTGTTCCAGTGCTTAACTACCCTTACAGTTAGGAAGTTTTTTCTAATGTATAACCTAAATCTTCCTTGCTGCAATTAAAGCCCATTACTTCTTGCCTGTCCTCAGTGGATAAGGAAAACAATATATCACTCTCCTCTTTATAGCAACCTTTTACATACTCGAAGATTGTTACCATGTCCCCGCTCAGTCTTCTCTTCTCCAGATTAAACGAACCCAATTTTTTCAGTCTTGCCTTGAATGTCATGTTTTCTAGATGTTTGATGAGTGCAGAATTGACAACAGTACATATGCCAGTGTTTGAGTTATTACAGTACTTCTGACCTGGTTCTCTGCTCCAGAAGGAGAGAGAGGCTTGGCAACCTGGGGTCTGGGAAGTTCCACTGTGCTGAACGTGACACCCTCCCCCCCCTTCATCCCCCCAGAATCCTGACCAGCTTCCCGCTCTGTAAGGAGAGATGGCAGTTATAGAGCTGCCTCTCCATCCAGAGTGGAGAGCTGGGTCTGGGAAGTTCCAGCACTTTCAAAATAAGGGTGAAAATCGGTAAAACCCACATCATAGCTTCTGTAAAACATGGGAAATTTTTGGCCAAAATTTTTGGCTAAAATGAAGGTCCTCATTCATAGTGTATAGGCACAAGGAGGCAGTATTAAAGTTCCACAGGCAACCTTAAGACTGGCATCTTCTAACTTTTGAGTGCTTAATTTTGTAATCGTAAGGTTCTTTTAATATAGTTTTTTGGATCTTTCTCTCTCTCTCTCTCTCTCTCTGTCTGTGTTTATTGTGTGTGTGAAAACTCGTACTAGTACCTTGGAAACTGACAACATGTTGAAATGATTGACATTTCACTGCTTGATAAATTCAAAAAATGAGCTATTGAGTCTTCAATCTAATTGGGTGAATAGTTTTTGTTACTATATGATGCAAATATTTCATATTTATTGTGTATATAATTTGGCTTGAATGTTATTTTAGAGATGCAGCGTAATTTGAAGAATTCACCCCTGTGCTTTCTCTTCCTGTCACACTTTTTCTCTCCCTTCACTCTCTCTTTCTTTATCTGGTTGACACCCAATTTGTTACATTATGTTGAATTTAAATGCTTACACTTTCTGGAGCAAGGACCCAGAGCTACCCTTGTTTTGTGAGGCATTTGTCATCTTTTTGGGCACTTTAAAATACGATGTCAGCAGAGGGGACTGAGAACTCCTAATATCTATTCCTGACTCGTCTTCACTCACCTAACTTCTTTTAGTTCCTTCTGTAAATATTTATTATTTATCTACCTTAAAAGTTAGAAGGAGATACATGAAAATAAAGGTAGGGAGATGGAGGAAACCCTTTGTCCTGTGATAAGAAAGGTCTTGGTTTGACACAAAGCAGAACTTGCCTGATCTGAGCCTAACTTTTTCAGTGAGCTTCTGCGCTTTTCTGATTAGTTTCACTTGACTTAACAGTTGTGTTTAATTCTTATTTGAACTGTGCAATTTTTTTTTGCTATGGTTAGATTTTGCAATGACAGTGGAACTAACCAGTGTCACTTGTACACAGTATTAAGCTATGATGTGTAAATAAATATTACAAGACATTTATCTGATGCCATACTATATTTAATCTGTGTGTGTGGCCAAGAGAAAAAGACGGAAGCTGCAATATCCTTAAATTAAGATTTATGTAGAGTTAGTGACTGTCAGTTTTGGTGCCATGAAAAAGATTTGAACCATAATATAATTCATTAACTTGAGGATTTATTAGCTAATATATTGTGAGCCAGAAAGGGAAGCTGACTACTTTCAATGATTCAGTGACTAAAGGGGTAAGGGAAGGAACGTCAACTTACCTCCTTCTTCGAGTAGTGTCCCTATGGGTGCTCCACTGTAGGTGTTTGTGCGTTCCTGTGACATCGGAGAATTTCAATAGCAGTCAGTCCCTCCTGTGGGGCCATGAGGCCAGCTGGCATCCACGGGTATTCCCTCCTCAGTTCCTCCTCAACTGCCCTAAGCTAGAGACGGAGCTAGGAGCTGTCCATTCACAGATCATTAGCTCCTTTAATTTTGCAAATTGTTGCTTCTCTTTAATCCTCTTTTCTTTTAGTACTTATTTGTGTTTAGTTGGCCATGCCAAAAAAGAGTGTGTGGGGGGGGGGGGTCAGAAAAGAAAGGTAGAAAAAGTAGAAAAGGTTTGCCTCCCACCAAACTTGTTGGGGAGTGATCTTCCTGCACAATGGTATGCCTGGCTCCCCAGGCTTCAAAAAGTGTCTTAGCTGGAAAGATTCCAGTGGATGGACATTCGCAGTGTATCCACTGCCTCGGGGAGACGCACAATCCACAAAATTGTGGCTGGTGCCAGCAGCTAAAACCCAGGTCCAGGAAGGACAGAGAGTTGAAATTCCTGCCCTCCATTCCCCAGAGTCCTGATAAGAACGATCACCACAACCTTCTACGTCAAAGGCAGGTGATCCCAAAGAGACGAGCCACTCACTAAAGACCTCTAAGAAAAGGTCTGTGAGTCCCCATAACGAGCCCAGATAGAGCAAGAAATGACCTCCAGCTCCATCAGTGTCTTTGGTACCTATGGCGCCGAAGCTGCCTAGAGTCAGTACCCAGGGCACGCATGGTACCGAGCCAACAGAGCCAGTTGGTCCCTCCAAAGACCCGATGGGCCCAGGCAAGGAAGTTCTGGTACCGGGGGTGCGTGAGAAACAGATGTTCTGCACCAGGGAAGGCTACGTCAACTAGGTTGTCGGCACCGGCACCAACAGCCATCGGAACTGATACTAGTACTGCCCGCACCGACTGACTACCGGTGTGCATTGGACCTCTTGCTCTCTGATGCACCTCCCTCACCCCTTCTCAGTATCGAGGCTCCGGTACTGAGCTCGCCAGGAGTAGTGGACACAATGGCATATCCATGCCCTTCACTGTTTCTCTTCTCTTCAGACTCAGATAGTGAATGAGAGGACTTAGGTTTCTACTGCGTGTCCTAGCCCCACACTGGTCCATGGTTTCGGCAGCCACACTTCCAGCCACTAGCTCCCTACCCGGAGTGGCTGAACTGAGACCTCTGGCAAACCCAGAGGCAACAAGCCTCACAGATCCCTAGTGTGGAGTACCAGGCACCCTCCTTTAGCAGCGGCTTCAAAGGTGGCAGACCCTCCTGAGCTATTGGGGGGAAGGAATGGAAACCGAATCAGAAAAAGAGGATATTCCTCTAGCCCATCTTTCATCATCCTCACCTGACAAGGCAGTGATGCCCCCTCCGCCTTCCTTGGCAGACAGCTTTAAATCATTCCAGGACCTACCCCAAAGAGCGGCTGAAGTCCTGCATAAAGTAACTGAACCCCATCACAAGCTGGTGGACATTCTCCACTCTTCCACCTCTACCAGGGGCCCTCCTAGACCCTGCTAGGGTCATATGGCAGACACACAAACAGGCAGACAAAAAGTACTATGTGCTAGCAAAGGGCACAGAATCTTTGTTTTCCCACCAACCTCCTTCATGGAAATGTGAGTTTGTAATCAAGTAACACAGTCTCTGCAAAGACATTTCTGACCACACCTCTGCATTTTACTGTTAGTCAGCAGAAGAGATATACAGATCTAAAAATAAATAAATATGTTCCTTATTTATCCATGTAAATAATCGATTAAAAAAAAAAAAGACTCCAGAGGAGATCCTGTCAATTACAGGCTGGTAGCCCTAACTTCAGTACCAAGCAGATTAGTTGAAACTGTAGTAAAGAACAGAATTATCAGAGACACAGATGAATATGATAAGTTGGTGAAGAGTCAACACAGCTTTTGTAACGGGAAATCATGCCTCATCAATCTATTAAAATTCTTTGAGGATGACTGCACCATACCTGAAACGAGGGGTGCGGGACGGGAGACATTCTCTGGGCTTGCCAGAGTAAGGGTAGCAGTGCTTTGTGGGTGGGGGAAAAGGAGGTCAAGCTGCTGCAAAAGGGGTGGGTGGGGGTCAGATTGGGTGATGCTGACTCATACCCCTGGGAACATAAGTCCGAAAGGCTTTAAAAGGGGCAAGTTCGCTCAGTAGCCCTTTCTCCACACATCAGGGAAGGCAGCACCTTGCTTGGGGGGTTCAGGGCTCCTATGATTGGAACGGCAGGGAGCCAACTCCCCTTTCTCATGGCCCACCTTAACTCTCCTATGAGGGGGGCTGGTGGAAGCCCCTGGTAGTTATTTGAATGAATATGGAATTGTGTGTACTGTATACTATTATCTGACGGGTAGTCACAGATATCTAATAATAAAGCTGTGTCCTGATTAAATCCCTGTGAAGTGTCTTCTGTCCTTCATTTGGTATAGTCTGACAACGTCAACAAGCATGTGGACAAGGGTGATCCAGTTGATGTAGTTTACTTGTCTAATGATGTCTCTGGATTTCTACAGGTTTGAGGGACTTCATGTAGTGTTCCTAATTTTTTTCATGATTGTTCCATTGGCAAATCTCTCAATCTATTCCTACTCTTGGGCGGAACCATTCCAACATATGGTGATAAGAGGAATTTGCCTTTTCTAATTCAAGTAGTTTCTGTTTAAATGGTCCATCTTGTAATATTGTACAACTCCCTTATTTTTAATTTCTCTCCCTTTCAGTGAACTCTGCATTGTAACTTTAAATTGTGGTAACTGTCAAACTGGTGTTTACACTAAGATCATTGCTGTGTTTTTAATTTTTAGGGGGCTGCACTTAAATACTTGCCAACTATTGTCAATGATGTGAAATTGGTATTTGATCCAAAAGAACTTAGGTAAGTAATGTTATTAAAGTAATGTACTGTGTACTTTCTATTGTCTAGATCTACATTTTTGTGTTTGAACTTGTGTATAATTATTTAATGTACAACATTTTATATGAACTTTTATTGCTATCTTGGTAACTTGAATCCCTAGGACAAGAAATCATAATCATCTATGATATTGTACTTTGATCAAAATTCTTTGCTTCAGCCATCTTCAGGAGTATACATACATATTTTTATTTTAAAGTAAAATGTGTGGTAGGGAAGCTTATTATTTTTTCTTGACAAATTTGCAAGCCTGTCTAGTAAAGATCATCTAATGAGATGCCAAAAATTGTAAATCATTTGAGTGATATCAGACTTATAGCTCATGTGTTTCATGCATCACTCTGCACCTCAATTGATTTGAATAATGATAGGTTTGTTATAGTTCAGTGCACACTAGTTGTGTGTGGAAATTTTACTAAAGCAAAAACAATCATCTCTCCATGGACCCCTTTTACAAAAAAGGTAAAGGGGAAAATTTGTTTAAAAACAAACAAATAACTAAGATTAAACACACTGCTAATGTGTTTTAAAAAAAACCTATAGTAATCTATTTTAGATGTTTTGATTGCACAGACTCTACATTGTCTACAATTGTATAGTCTGTGATTTTATTGAGGTAGTTAAGAGAACACTCAAGTGTTAATAAAAAATAAATGTGGAAATTCAGAGTTAATTTTTAATCAAATAAATGCTTGGAGGCTGGAAAATGAGGCTATAATTCAAAAGCTAAATTTCAGTTTGGAAATACTCTGTACAAAAAATCATAATTATTGCTGAAATTTTTCATTGCACCCAGAAGCTAAAGTATAACTTTTCATTTACCTATTCTGCATGCCTCTATATATCCTTTTCCGCTAGGTCTCCTTGGGCCATGAGTATAGAGTTCCAAGACTAAGCCATTTCTGAAAGATGTATGGTAGCAAAAAGTATTGAAAAATCTGTCCAAAAGTAAAATACTGGTCATTGGACCATCTTACTAAAGGATGTTGTCAATTTCCCATCACTTTAAGTCTTTTAATCAAGATTGGATGTCTTTCTAAAAGATATGCTTAGCTCAACCACAAGTTATAGGGCTTGATGCAGGAACTACTGGGTCAAGTTGAATGACCTCTGTTATGCAGGTTGTCAACCAGGTCCCTTCTGGTCCCAAAGCCTGTGAATTTTTTTCTGCGTCAGTCTCAGTTCTGCCCCTACCCCTAATTGAAGCTGTTCACATAAAGGATCCTTACTATCATGCTTCTTCCCCTACCTAAGTAGCAGGCTTTTGCATTTACAGTAACTCATATTTATGTTTTAATTGTCTTATGTTCATTGCCTCTGTGCCTCAGTTTGATTTTGAAATACATAAGCCAAAATGGAGAAGCTGTATGCTGCTACACGAGTAGATCCTTGTTCATCTGTAGTGGAATGAGGGAGGAAAATGAAGAGCAGAAATAAATATATTGGCCAAAGAAATTTAAACGAATTGTGAGCACTGAATTGCCTTTCTAGAACTCCTCACTATGTAGAAAAGGGCTTGGTCCTCCTCTGCTCCCCCTTCCACCCGCCCAAAAAAATGTTTACTGAACTAACTGCTCAGTTTCTTTTCTAGCTATAGACATTTGGTTTTATATACTTTTGAGAAATTAACATATTCCTTTTCTTAATTGCCCATTTTTGTATAGCAAGCTGTTTACAGATTTCATCCTAAATGTTCCAACGGGTCGGCTCACAATTCAGAAGCTGTACTGTTTGATCGAAATAGTTCACAGTGACCTCTTCACGCAGCATGGTAAGCAAAGCCCTGGAAATCATTACATTGTCACATTATTCATTGTCTCTAGACCTCTATCAGTGTCAGTTCTGTCCTCACTTTAGAAGGTAGTGGAAGTTGCAACCAATTAAAGTTGTTCCACTACAAGGACAAGCAGATTTAGATTATGTAAGAAAATGCTAATTGACAGTTAGTGTAGGTGGTAGATCATGGAGAAATGAAGGCAAAAACTTGTAATTTGTAATTTAAAAGAGCATTAAACACAGTGGTAATTGGCTTGGATTGTAATTTTTAAAATATGAAATTGTCACTTTCGCATTTCTGTAATGGCATTTTGTGTCAAGGAAATTGAGAGAGAGAACTTGACCTTTCTGTTTTATTTTTTAAATACTTCCCACAAATTCCAAATTAAATACATTGACACTATACCATGCACCCACATTTTCATTCCACTTTCCAGTTAGTGGCCCAATGAAAGACAAGTTCAAATGGTTATTTTATGGATTATCTAGGTTTTCAATTGAGGTACAGCATTGCCTTTCTTTCTAGATGGCTATAGTGTAGACCAAAGTGTTGTTTCCTGGTGAGATAAGTTAACACAGTGAGCAACTAACTGTTGCCCTCTCCTCCCTTCCTAGTAATCTCTTCAATTTTGTCAAAGTTCTAAGGGCCTGAGGAGAGAGAGGCAAAGTCCGTCTCTTCATTTAGATGTTTTGTAGTGATCAAGTAGGGTGAACGAATTTAACCAGGATAGCTTAAAAGGAAGCTGCTAAACCATTTAGACCCCAAATTTAGATTTGATGGATTCTTTTTTAAAAGCTTTACAAATCTTAATAGTAATAAATGCTGTATTTATGAAACTATAACTGAGCAGTGAAAAATTATTTTTGGATTTAAACCTCTCCCTGAAGTATTTGCAAGCAGACAGACTTATATTGGTATGTATATATATGGACCATAAAGTAAAATGGGCTATAAAAGAGAGCAGTCTAATTTCGCTGCCCAATTTATATGAAACTACCACAGAATGGATGAAGAAAAATAATTTTTTAATTTAAAAAATATGGTCAGTCTTGATTATTTAAGGGAATTTTAGTAATACTGATAAGGATTTTAAAGAAAATTAAACCTGACCGTATGTATTTTAATGTATCTGTTTTGTGGGTAACTGTTACAGATTTAACAAACATAATTCCTTCTTTGTCTGATATGATTATAAAAAGAAGCCACTTAGGTGAGAGAAGTAACAAGTTACAGGGACTTGAAACTTTCTAGAAGGCTTTGGTCCTTTTTTATCTATTGTCGATTTTACTTGTAGGTAAAGATGACACACTGAAAAAATAAATGAAGTCTGAACTTAGTGATTGGAACATAGAGTAGTAGGACTTTGATAAATAGGCTTCCTCAGCATTGCAAGGTGTGCAAGGCAACTCCCCCACCCCAAAGTCAATTTAAAAGTTTGTGTCCTGTTGAAAAGAAAAATGCATTGACGTTTTTATTGAAGAGTACACTGTACATTTCATGGGCTATATGACTTTCCATTCTTAACCTGTATTTTTCAGGAATTTAGTGATTATGTTGGAAAAATTCCTTTTGTTGCTAAAATATTGGGGAGAGGAGCTAGATAAAAAATTGTTGGGGAAATAGCTCTTAAAATTATTCATAAGAGGAGTATGAAACTGATTTTTCAGAGTGCATTAGTCCTTAACACTCAACATTTTGAAAGGGCTGTGCACTAGGTGCTGCTCCATAAAATGCACAAGTACCCTCTGCACTGGTAGTGTTCTGTAGTTATCTGAATTATATGTACCCTCATAGCACCATACTGTGAAAATGTAGTCCTAAATGTATGGAGTAATTCCTTTTCCTGTTTTGAATTTTTTTTAATAAATAGATTGGTTAAATCCAGTGTACACACATGCACAGATATTCTGAAGAAGTATATATGCTTTCACATGCAGAATGCCTGCCTGAGAGTAACGGCTCCCAGTGGTTCACAGATCATTTAGTGTATTAGGAGGCAAATTTAGCAGATGGCTAATAAAATAAATTACATGCATCTTTCATAATAAGATGACTCTGGCACGTAAATGCAGGAATGTATATAGTAGAGATAAGAAACCACCTAGAAACAGGAAGAAGGGTCAAAATGCAACAACATGAATGTAAAATATACTACTATGTATAAAGGAAATTAAAGGGTAAAAGCTTACTCTAAGGTTACTTTGTGGGCTAAAATAAATTTGTAAAAGCAAGGAAGCATGATAGTATATGCATAAAACTTCTTATATCACATTGTATTTGCATGTCCCTAAAACTGAAATAAGTGTGATATATCCTTTAGGACCAATGATCTATGTTAAAGGTACTGACTTAAGTCTCACACTTCAGGAGAGACTGGATGGTTAATGAGATTGATAATGAGAGTCAGAAACTACACCAGCAGCATCCAGAACAGCTTTATCAGCAGAGCTGCATGGAACGAGGTCCGGTAGAGCCATCCTCTGTTTACACACCTGGGACTATGACATAAAATGCTTAGTAACCTCAGTAGATGAGGTTGAAAGAACAAGCTACAGTAAAAGCTGTTTTATCTGGCATATTGGGAGAATGAGAGGTTCCGGTAAGTGAAAAATACCAGTTAACTAAGAGGGAGGGAGTTTGGGTGCGGGAGGGGGCACGTGAGGGGGTGTGGGGTGCCGGATCCATGGGGCGTTCACCTTGGGCAGCTCCCTGCAAGCGGTGACCTGTCCCAGCTGCTCTTAGGCGGAGGCATAGCAGATGACTCTGCGCACTGTCTCCGTCCACAGGCGCTACCCCCACAGCTCCCATTGGCCACAGTTCCCAACCATTGGGAGCTGAAGAGCTAGTGCTCGGGGCAGGGGCAGTGCGCGGAGCCGCCTGCTGCGCTTCCGCCTAGGAGCAGACGGGACAGGTCACCGCTTGCGGGGAGCCTCCCAAGGTGAGCACCGCCCAGAACTGGCACCCCGCACCTCCTCCTGTGCCCCAACCCGCTGCCCTGAGCCCTCTCCCGCACCCAAATTCCCTCCCAGAGCCTGCTCTCCACACCCCCTCCAGCGCCAACCGGACTATAAACCGGAATTTCAATGAATATCAGAAATGCCGGTTTATAGAGCTTTCCGGTTGGTGAAGTGCCGGATAAAACAGTTTTTACTATACCATGAACAAGCCAGAAACTGCACCAGCAAAAGCCCTAGCTAATTCATAAATCAGAATGCCTGGAATACATAGATTTCAGAAGACTTTGGGATATTTTCTCCACACATTTCCCCCTTCTCCCCAAGCAGCTGAAGTATCAGTTATTGACAATGCTGGAGGAAGCATACTGAACCATAACCAATGGTCTTTATTCTTTATGGCAACCTTGAGTTCCTTAATAAACATGAATGTGTTCTTTGGTAGTCCAAATTATCTGCATGATTACAGTGATACTGTATATCCAAGTAAGATATAGGATTTTGCATTTGTATTGCAGCCCCTGTTTCTTCAGAATAGGTGATATAGGACATAGAGGAGCAGTGAATATATTTACTTATTTTATCCACTGCTGTGCCATATTCTCTGAATAAGGAATTTTGTTCCCTCTGAATGTCCTAGATTACTCCTTTCCCTTTATAGAACCTACATTACTTTTAGCAGGATTCCTGTTGCTCTGGAGGGAAACTCCTATACAATACTTTAATTTTGTTGCTTGTTCTGTTTCTGCAGTGATTCAAAATGGAGAACTTGTACCAAAAAGGACAGAGGTTGATTAGTGTTTAAAATTAGCCAATCAGTCAAAGGAACATCAAGCAGGAAAATTTTGTTGGTGAGGAATTACCAGTTGACTTCCAAGACCCACACTTTTCAAGGCCTGTGACCATTTCCAAATTTTCTACATAAACTTCCAAGTATAACATAGAACTCTGTACAGACTGATTCTGCTTTGGGTATTCATCACATTCCTAGCTTTAAGACAATGAATATTCACTACTGTTTGAAGAAAAAATTGTTTTCTTTTACTGCTGGAAATTATTCCCCTACTAATAGAACCAAACCAATTTACATAAATTTGTGAGGGTCATAGTCATTGAGTTCCATCCAAAGGCTACTTTGTACATCTACTTTAGTCTGTTAGACGTCCCACTAGTTTTATATCCTCACTTATATCCTCATTTTTCTGAAGCTTGATAGATAAATTTAGTTTTCTCTTGGGGGGAAACAAACAACTAATTATCTTGGTCTTTCTTTGGCATGGACAAAGCTCTTGGGAAATGATACCCATATTTCTCTCTCCTCTCACAAAAGAACCATATTTAAATTGCTTCTGCATTCATTTGTCCTCAATCTGATTTGACAGAACAGTTACAGAAAGGGCATTGAAAAGATCGTTTGGTCACAGTTATGTTGTTAGAGAAATTCATTAGAATCTTTGACAAAACATTATTGCCTTGGAATTATATCACAAAGATGATCCAAGTGTGTCCTGTTTGATTTGCAAGAGTTATTCAAAATCTAGAGGCTGATGCTCTTTCACTCCTTTTTATGGTTTTTTGGAGGATTTCTGTTTTTGGTTTATGCAGTTTGTAGCTATATTACTATTGGAAGCAGCGTGGTCAATAGGAATAAAGTGTGAGACTGAGAATGAGGATATGTGGAATCAGTATCTTAAACAAGATACTTAACATTTCTGTGAAGTTGTATAGATTTTCAAAAGAAAGTTAAGCGGGTTAGGTGCCAAAATCCCTTTGGAATTCAAGGGAATCCCAGCTTTCATTTCTAAAAATTGGGATGCTACTTTCTTACTTTGTAAAGCATTTTGAAGTCCAATTCTGCACAGTACTGAGTGTGTTGATATTTAGAAGTTAAAATCCTGATTCAGCCAGGTACTTGGGGTACATGCCTAACTTTTAGAATGCAAGTAGTACCACTGAAAGAGACAAGGTGGGTGAGAAAATATCTTTATTGGACTGACTTCTGTTGGTGGAAGGGGCAAGTTTTCAAGCTTCACAGAGCTC